ATCTAGCTAATATTTCCAGAACTATATTTAATAAGAGTTGTGACAGTGACCATCCTTGTCTTGACTTTAGAGAAAAAGCCTTCAATTTTTCACCATTTAGTATGATGTTGGCTGTTGGTATGTCATAGAGAGATTTTATCAGGTTGAGATAAAGATCATCTATTCCAATTTTCTGTAAGTTTTTTTTTATCATGAATAGGTGTCGTACTTTGTGAAACACATTTTCTGCATCTATTGAGATGACCACATGGATTTTGTCCTTTGTTTTGTTAATATGGTATATTACATTTATTGATTTGCATATGTTAAACCTTTCCTGCGTCCCTGGGATGAATCCTCCTTGGACATGGTGCATAATCTTCTTGATGATTTATTGTACTTTGTTTGCCAGTATCTTGTTGAGGATTTGTGCATCTATGTTCATTAGGAAGACTGGCCTGTAGTTCTCTTTTTTAGTTGCATCTTTTCTGGTTTTGGTATCAGGATAATCTTTGCTTCCAAGAATGACTTTGAGAGTATTATTTCCCTTTCAATTTCATTAAAGAGTTTGACAAATAAAAGCATTATAGCATTATCTCTAAATTTCCAGTAGAATTCAGCAGTGAATCCATTAGGACGTGAACTTTTCTTTGTTGGTAAGTTTTTAATTACATTTTTAAAGCCATTGACTGATACTGGGTTATTTAGAAATTTTATATCTTCTAAGCCAAGCATGGTGGCTCATGCCTGTAATCCCAGCACTCGGGAGGTTGAGGCAGGAGGATCGTTGTGAGTTCGAGACCAGCCTGGGCTACAAAGTGAGCTCAAGGCCAGCCTGAACTGCATAGCGAGACCTTGTCTCAAAAAGACAAAAAAGAAAAGAAAAGAAATTTTATATCTTCTGGATTCAACTTTGCTAACTCATATATAGCTAGGAATCTGTCCATTTCTTCTGTGATTTCTATCTTATTAGAATCTCAAAGTAATTATTCATGAGTGTCTGGAGTTCCACAGAATCTGTTGTGATTTCGCCCTTTTCATTCTTAATTGCATGGATTTGAGTCTTTCCTTTCCTTTTTTTTATAAGGTTGGCTAAGAATTTGTTGATCTTATTTGCTCTTTCAAAGAAACAGCTCTTCAATTTATTTACTTTTTGTATTATTTTCTTAGTCTCAGCTGCATTATTCTGTTCTGGTCTTTATAATTTCCTCCCTTATATGAGCTTTGGGCTTGATTTGTTCTTTTTCTAGAAGTTTGAGGTCCAACATTAGATTATTTGACTTGTCCTATTGTCCTCCACGCTATTAATTTTCCTCTTAGGACAGCTTTCCTTGCAGAGGAAGCCAGATTTAACGGGACACAGTGGATATATTTATCCCTAAGATTTATTCCTTGCACCTATATTACTGTTCCCACGCATATAGGTATTACATACACAGCCCACAACTTTGGGGAACAAGACATGATCACATGTCTTTTTATTGTTTTCTTAAACTTCTTTCTTGAAGCATACATAGTTAAACTTTCTCAGCGCAAGAGCCTGGCATATAAAAAGAAAATCACTGAACATCTGACAAGTAAACAAAAAGGATAAATGACAAACCAAATATCTAGTCTTAGGGGTCAACAGGGAAGCCCTGTAGTTTGTTTGCTTGTCTGATTATTTGTTCACTTGTTGGAATTATGAAAAGCACAGACAATCTAGGACACGGGTTCAGCGCAACAAGGGGTTTGTGTTCCCCTATGGCCAGCAGGTGGCGCCAGAGGACATGGTTTCGTGCATACTATGTGGCAGAGATTCAGGTGGGATTTATGCCAGGTCCCTCGAGGTGAGACAATTTGGTCTGTCTGTCTGTCTCTCTCTCTCTCTCTCTCTCTCTCTCTCTCTCTCTCTCTCTCTCTCTCTCTCTCTCTCTCTCTCTCTTTCTACCTCTCCACGTATAGGATCCCCAGCAACAACTACTAAGGCAAGGACAGTCAGAAGACAGAAAGCAGAAGTCTAGAAAATGCTACATGAGGCTGGATTAGCAATGGAAGGTAGTGGTAAGAGTGTGGGTGATGGGAAAGCCAGGAGCATATTGAAATGCACACGGGAAGTCTGGAACAGAAAGATGGAGAGGAGAGTCACGGCAGAGGCACTGCGTTTGGGCATGGAATGCACAGGGCAGGGTCCCTGAAGAGAGGCAGAAGCTCCATCCCACTGCATCAGAAGGAAATCCACAGGAGGGGCGAGAAGGCTGGAGAGTGTGTCAGTTGGTGAGGAAGTGATGTCCAGGTGGCTCGAACGTCGTGTGAGGCAGCAGTTGGGGGCAGTGTCCAAGGTCTAAGGGGAGATGGCAAACAAGGGGGGCCCACAGGCCTGCCAACCAGCCCTGAGGGTGGGTCTCCAGGGTGGCAGCATGTCGTAGTTACTTTTTATTACTGAGACACAATACCCAACACACAATTTGAAAGCGGAGAGGTTTATTTTGGCTCTCAATTCGTAGAAGCTCCAGTCCATAGTCGGCTGGCTCCAAGGCAGGCAGGTAAGGAGGCCTGGAAGAGGAAAAACAGCCCGTGCCATGGCTGTGGGGAAGCAGAGAGAGAGAGACCAAGGGAGGAGGAGGGGCTGGACCCTCCCAGTGACCACCTCCTCTCTCATGCTTCACCTCCCAATGTCACACTTGGATCTAAACCCACGAGTGGACTAATCCAGTGATGAGCATCACACACCCTAGATCCAGACCTCCCAAAAGCCCACCTAGGAACACATGACTTCAGACAGTGGGGATCCACATACAAACTACAGAATCTCAAAGCCGGCATCTTCATCCCCTTGCTCGTTCATTCTGCAAGTGTTGTGCCCACCACTATTTTGTACACACGGGATACACAGCAGGGAGCACAGAACTTCCACTGTAGTGGGAGGAGGGATAGGCAAACACGTAAATAAGCAAATAAACACCAAAAAGGGCTGTGAAAAACTAGGTGGGAGAAGAAACATTAAAATGAGGGTTATAAAAACATGATGCTCAAGGAAGTCCTCCCACGCCTTCAGAAGAGACATCAGAGTAGGGATCAGAAAGAGGAAGGGAAGAGCCTTGCAAACAAGGAGAGTGGGGTTTCAGGACAAAGAAGACAGCCAAGGCCAAGGGGAAGAGAGGGGACAGACCACACAGAGCGCTGGACATCATCTTTGGTCCCTACGCCACTGCTATCAGTAGAAACCAACGAGAGAGCGTGGCTCCACTGACATCTTGAAAAGACCACTCCTGCAAACAGACTAAGGGGCAGGTGCGGAAGACAGGACATCACCTAGGAGTCTGGGCAGCCATCAGGGCAGAGATGCAAGAAGCAGCTCAGAGAGGAGCGAAGTGATCAGATCTAGGCCAGTAAGACTCACTGGTGACAAATCTGATGACCAGATGCAGAATGTGAGTGAGGGGTCATACTGACTCGGGTGCTGCCCCAAGCCCAGGGGTGGCACCACTTACTCCAATGGAGAAGACTAGGGGTACAGGTTAGATCTGGGAAGGAACAGAGGCAAAAGTTCTGCATTGGACACGCTAAGCCCTCAGAAAGACCCTGCAGGCAGTGTCATGCTGTGCAGTTTGCTTCGCTTCATTTTGGCCAGCAGGTTTGGCTGTGTTTTTCTCCTGAGCACCTGGTGGTCTCTCAGCCATAGCTCTGTTTCATCCTTGACTGAGATTATGCTGGTTGGTGTGAAGAGAACAAGGGTCAAGAGAGGTGAAGGTGTAGCAAACAGACCAAGTGAAATGACAAACCAAATATAAAACCCCAGTTCCTGAACCAATTCTAATTAGTCAGGACCAATCCCAAGAACAACTGAATCCAAACTCAATTAAACAAAAGGAGGGAAGCAACAGCTCATGGCTCTGGAAGGGACACGGTGGTAACTCAGAAATGAGAAGAAAGTCCTAAAGTGACCACAAGTTCATGAACTGGGATGGACATGACTGCGTGACCCTCAAGTGCCTAGTGTTGGGGGTGGGGGGTAGCAGATCTAAGACGAGAAGGAAGAGTTGGGTCTGTGGGGAAATGTAGAGGGGGCACCCTACCCAACAGATCAAAGTTTCAGAAACAGAGTTTGCAGAGATAAAATTGTCCCAACATCTTTCCCTTCCTCTGAAAACTCCTGATTTGACAAAACCAGTGTCAAAAAACCACCACTACCTGTGAGCGCAGCTTTAGTATCTATCCAATTTCAGTTAAACGGTATGAAACAGGGCAGTGACCAACTCCTTCCACACCACAACATCCTTTGGATGTTCTGGTCTCCTTAGCAAAGCAACAACTTTTCCTGTGTTCGTGGATTGCCCTATACCACAGCCACAGGGCAACAGCCTATTGGGGTGTGGTGGCACAGGCCTATAATCCCAGGATTTAGGAGGCCGAGGCAGCAGGATCATTGCAAGTTTGAGGCCAGCCTCGGCTACACAGTGAATTCAAAGTCAGCCTGAACTGCACAGTGAGATCCAGTCTCAAGAAAGAAGACAAGAAAAGAAAGAAACAGCCTAGCCAGTCATTATGAGAAAACCAGCCTCTTGTAACTACCATTAACTTGGGCAGACCATTAATTAGACAAGCGATTTTCAACAGCTGAGCCAGCAGCCTGCCTCACTGCATCACAGGGTCACCCCTGAGCGCATCCCAACAGGCCCATGTAAATGCAGGGTGACTACAGTCTGGCTCTGGCAAAACCCAGAGACCCACTTGTAAAGCTTACCTCCCACATGTGACACTATGGGAAACAGAAAGCAGCAGCTCGTGGCTCTGGAAGGGACACTGTAGTAACTCAGAAATGAGAAGAAGGTCGTAAAGTGACCACAAGGTCATGAACTGGGATGGACATGACTGCGTGACTCTCAGGGGTCGCACCTAGTGGAAATAAGATGGATCACTGAGGGTGAGCCCCTGAAGAAGATATTGTGCCTTCAACCTCCTCCCATTTCTCTGCTCACTGCCCTTATGATGTAAACAAACCTCCTCCATCACACACCTCTGCACTGTGCCACCCAACCCAAAAGCAACAGGGCCAAGAAACCATGGACTGAAACTCCTGGAACCGTGAGCCAAAATAAGTCCTTCCTTCTCTGAAGTTAATGGTCTCAGGTATTTTGCCCTAGTAACAGAAAGCCAATGCAGTGACTCCATGCAGAAGTGGTCCACTCTTACTCTTACTATGAGTGGGACAGGCGCTCCAGGTAGCCCTGGGCACATACTACTCACCTGTCACCAAACAGCGAGGGCAGAGACAGACAGTGTGAAGGGCCCCAGGACCCCAGCAGCAGGATTTCTGAGGCTTCCACAAAGCCACTCTGCACACTTTGACCATGGATTCCCTGACACCCACAGCACAGAAAATCACGTAGCCAGTTCCACACCGAATCCCATGCTGGGAAAGTCACTTCTCCGGGTGAGCTCCACCAGCCCAGGGGAACTGCGTGACAGTGTTGGCACAGGTGTGGGCCTGAGCAGCCTGCATTATAAAGAGCCCCTTGGGCTTCCACCAGTGGGTCTGCCCGTCCTGAGAAGGGTCTGCCTCAGAAACTTGGTTGCCCTGTGGCACACATCCTGAGTTCCCAGTACACCCAGGAGCCTTCTGAAGGGGTCTTGCTCTTCCTTGTTCATCTGTATCATCTCTGCTTTTTGGGGTAATACACCACCCACGATACGCAACTCCACGTGGAGGCAGCACCCTGGAGGGGGTGCCGCCTGCGCAAACTCACCAGCACCCCCCCTACACTTGCTCTCCCGTGAGTCCCGAGGGTTCCCCATCTCCCTCCGGGGATTGCTCACTGCAGCCTCTCTAAGCTGTGGGGCCCTGCACAATCACACGTAGGTCCTTCTGGGAACCTGCTGTCATGAACTGCTCACCACCTCCTTGACACGGTTACAACCACAGAGAGGATGACGGAGACAGGAAATGGAGGTGACAAACAGTGACATTCGGTAAAACAGCGAAATCAAGGTCAGGTCTTATCAGCAGGCCACCAGTGGAGGGCAAGTGGGTCCCTGCGGCCTTTATCTGCTCTCAGGATGCATCATCTCTGCTGTAAGGAGCAAGAGATGGAGGCCAACACAGCCACGCTTTGGGGTGGGAGGGTGGGCAGGGTGTCTGTGGGCTCTGAAAGATTCAAACTGAGTCACACACAGAAAGACATAAACCTTTAGCATACAACTTAATGCATTTCTACCATTAATTCTACGTATGCATTAACTGCTATTAATTACCCCCCATCTGCTCCTTGCTAACGCCATAGATGAGTTTTACAGGTCCTTGAGCAAGGACATAGCCTTCTGGCTTCTTCCGTCACACTTCTAGATGAGTCCACGTTGTCACTAAGAGCCATTTCCTTTATTCCTTTGCTGTGTAGTGTTCCCCTGCATGAATGTACTACAGTTCACCCATTCTTCGCCGGTGGACATCTGGGCTGTTTCCAGTTTCCAGCTATTATGAACTCCAGGGCTGTGACCACTTTGGTACGTACTTTGGGTGGGCATCTGCATTCAGATTTCTCTTGGATGGAAACCAGGAGTGGAAGTGCTGGCAGGCACACGGCCAGCCTCAGAACTCACCACGCAGCCTCCTGTGCAGCTGTGCCCAGGCCTGCTTTCTCTGGCAACGGCCTCGGGGGTTTTTTGGTGGTGGTGGTTGTTGTTGTTGTTGTTGTTGTTGTTGTTGTTGTTTTGGTGCTGCCAACCTCTTTTCACCAAGTACAGCACAAAAGAATGTGAGAGCACTGGGGTGTCAGGCAGATCTCGGCACGAGGCTCAGTGCCACCACCACCTTAGGGATGCCGGGCACGCAAGTGAACTCCAAGCCTGCGCTCACCCTGGGGTTTACCACTGTCCTTGGCTGCCGCTGGTGTCACAGCAAATCCAGAGTCCATGTGGCTGGTGATTGCCGGCAGCTGGCACTAAGTGAACCATTCTCTCCCCTTCTTTCCCATTCCTGGGTCCCCTCAATGTCAATCACCCACAAAGGACGCCCGGGCCTCCCCCAGCAGAGTCCTTCACAGTTCCTCTGCCTATGGTCCTGGGAACCCATCTGCTTCCTCCCCACAGATTCATGTCACAGGGCTGCTTCTGTCAGTGCCATTGCCATTGGTGGGGAAACCCAGGTACCAGGGAGCATGGAAGGTGCATTCCTGCGGCACCTCCACTGTGAAAAGAAGCCTGCCCAAAGGCCAGATCCCCCACCCCATGACCAAGGACAGATTAATAATGAGCACCTCAGACTGGCACGGAGCCACTAAGGGCCACCCAGGGAACTCACCCATGGGACTCACCCATAGGACTCACCCTCAGGACTCACCTTCGCTCTGAACAGCTTGTCGTCTGTTCAGAGAACGCTCTTGAGAAGTCAGGCAAAGAGGCCAGTGGCAGACACGGTCTATCCTGAAGGAGTGGGCCTGGGCAGGGAAGGGCCAGTATTCTGGAGCAGTCTCTCCACAGCCACAGAGTGGGGTGAGGAGCCGCCCCCTCCAGTGAACACGGGCACCTTCCCTTCTGGGGGCACAGCTGGACCACGGTTTCCCTGCCATCTTCCACTTGGCAGAGAAGTGATTCAAACACACACAGAGGCCCAGGAAAACCCAGGAGCAAAACAAGGATTGCAAGAAGGATCACCTTTTTTATTATCCCAAAATGTAAAGTATTGAAGGCACTTGCAATAAGAAGGGTGGAGGTGGCAGGAGGACAGGAAAGGGAGGTCAGTGTCCCAGCACAGAGGTAAATCAATCACCCTGTCTGGTCACCGCCTGGCCTGGAGAGGAGGAAAAGCTACAGGAGGGCCAGGTCTGACGCCAGCTAGGGTGTAGCCCTACGAAAGGTCAGGTCGAAATCCATTCTACAGAAGATTAGGAAGCTAGGAACACACAGGGGCCAGGGTAGGGCCTGGCAGTCCTGAGTTAGTGGTTCCAGAAGGGGCGCGAAGCCCTCAAGGCCCCTGCTGGAAGAGCTCTCGGTACATCTCAATAAGACGCGCGGCCTCGCGCTGGCCGGACAACAGAGCACCATGGGTGGTGGAATAGTACTTGCGGTGGGTGGCCTCGCCCGAGAACAGCACCTGCATGGGCTGGGGACAAGGGGAAGAGGAGGTCAGGGTGCGAGCAGCAGAGCCCAAGGGCTCCCTATCTGCCCGGAACACCATCCCTCCTGCAGACCAGGGAGGAGTCAGCCGCAGCTGGATCCAGGCACCGCGGCTTCCACATGCCGAGGAGCTGTCACCCCTGGCCATCTTCCCGGCTCTTCCCCCAGACATCCAGGCCTCAGGCCTTCCTGTCCTGGGGCTGTCACAAGTCTTGGTTCTGCAGTCTCAAAGGCTATGTGTGCCTCTTGATGGTGAGCTTGGGGCAAGTGGATTACCCTCCCTAAACCTTGGTTTTCTCATCTGCCCAATGGGTGGATGCTACCTCCTTCTGCAGCTGGTTGTAGGGATGAAGTGAAATCACACATCTACACACCTGGAAGAACATACCCACTCAGTAATGTTAGGTGGTAATTTAACAAACCTTTATGGAGCCCCTATTAAGGTCCAGGGACTGTTCTGGGCACTTGGATGATAAAAGGTGACCAGCCTGGTGCTTTGTGGTGCTTCTGTGCTGGTGGGGAAGCCAGACACGAAACCCAGTTACTAAACAGTGTCATACAGGATATGATGGGTGTTTGGGTGAGATGCTGAAAGCCTAGAAAAGCAGCCTAGTGCTTGAAGATCCCCCAAAGCTTCCCAGAGGACAGGAACTTTGGACTGCTTCGCAGAGGATGCTGGGTGAAACGGGCAAAGGACACTGGGACTGAGGGAAGAGTGGGGGCAAAAATGCACCCCACAGACAGACAGTGAAAATTCTGTTGCAGTCAAATTCAGCCTCAAGAGATCAGGCTGTGTAGCTGGGGCCCAGCGAAGTTCAAATCCTTGCATCCCAGGCCTATATGTGACCTTCGTCCTGGTGCCTCCACATGCCCATGCCAAGGCCTCACCACAGATCCCGACGGAAGACAGAGGGCTTAACCCAGCAGGTCTGCAGGTGGGCCAAACCCTCCCACAAGGAAGCCACAGAAAGCGGTGCATGGCAGCAAAGTGCCAGCTGCCCACACCCAGGTCCACTACGCTCTCTTTCTCAGTAAGAAAACCTTGGTTTCCAGCTAGATCCAGTGTGGTCCCAGCTAACATGGCATGCATGGCCCAGCCTCTTAGTCCTGTCACTAAGTTCTGGCCAAGGAGCTTCAAGTGCACTGTGGCACAGGGACCGTGTCTCCACTCCAAGGGATCCCCCAGTGACCATTCAGAGTTCCTCCTCCCTCCAGCCTAAGATGCACTTGGAAGAGCCAGAGCCTCTGCAGCCCTCTGGGACCACAAGGTGGCCCTGGGGAAAGAAGCCAGGTGCTATGGATGCCAGGTCCTGACACTGTCCTGCAGATTTCCTTTTGCATGTAGAGTGAACCTCCGTCTGCAGAAGCCAGTTACTCTCATTTGGCTTTGCTTTTTGTTAATGCACAGTCCCAAGGCAGGCGACAAGAGCTTTGCTTTTTATGAAAACGGTGGTGGTGGCAGCAAGGGGACTTCTCTCCTTCTCCCTCTAAGTATAGTCAGGCAGACACAGTGCACCTTGGTTAACAAAATCTGCTTCACCAATTAGTCAAGAATTATTTTAAATATACCTCTGTTGGGATTTTGACATTTATTGTATGTGTACACTTGGTGGGCAAAAATTTTCACTGGAGTAAAAATACACCTTTCTCTCCAATTTACTATTTTTTTAGTGTATAGTTGAGTAATTTTGGGTAGGGCAGTATTCTCAATTTTATTTTCTAAAATACATTGGGAAAACATTTCCATTGAATTGGCGCTGAACATTCTATGACACTGAAGATATTCTTTGCTTTGTAATCCAATATAGCAGCCAACAGGCCCAGGTGGCTACTGAACTTAAAATGTAACTACTGTAACTACTGCCTCCAAGGTGCTCATTTTTAATTCATTTAAATTCCAATTAACTGAATTACATGTGGCTAATGGCTACCATACTGGCCACAGTTTTCAGAACTTCAAAAAAGCACTTAAAGTTTAATTGGGCTTCACTTTTTCTTCCAGATGTTAACTACACGATCTCTTGTTTTGTCTTTCAGGAGCTACTCAATCACTGTTGCCTGCACAGGACTCCCAGACACCCCCAGGCCCTCCTCACTGCACCCCACCCCGCTCACCGCAGTCTTGGAGCTCTCCGTGTAGGGCAGCGGCTTGGCCAGCTTCTCCACGTCTGCCCCGCTGGAGCCCACCTGTGTGTATGAATAGGAACCTCGGAAATAAGGGTTGCTACCCCAGGCTGAGCGCAGGATTCGCCGAGGTTTGGGAATGTTGGGGTTCCCTGTTGGGAAGTCAAAAGAGGACGGAAGTTAAGAAACAGCTGCATGTGGGAGACACCCCAGTATGGACCACTGTACCCCACCTCCAGGACTCCAGGAAGACCAGCCTTAGAGATGGCCATGGAGGAGAGAAGGAGGCCAGGGCTTGAGCTGTGTACCCACTCACTGCCTCCTGGTGAAGGCCACCAAGACTCTCTGACTCTGAGGGCTTTTTCTCTTTCTCAATGTCTGTCTGTCTGTCTCTGTCTGTCTGTCCCTCTCTCTCTCTTTTCCAGGGCTGGGGATGGATTCTGGTCCTTACACATGCTAGGCAAGTGCTCTACCACTGAGCTATAGCTCTGTTCCTGTAATTACTTTTAAGATCGGAAATTTAAGGGGAATGGGCTTGTAGTTCAGTAGTAGAGCCAGCATACACAAGGCCCTGGGTATAATCCCTGGCACTGCAAGAAACAAATAAAAAACCTATCATGTTTATAATTTCAGGAGTTCCTTTAAGTCTCCTAGAATAATGGATAGAAAATGCTCAATTAAGAATAACAGCAAAACACAAATCCAACCCTTAGCAAGGCTATGCGTAGGAAATGGGTGATTGGTGCTGATGCCTGTCTTTATCCTCAGCCTTGAGCAGGAGGAGGGACACCAGGTCAGGAGTGTGGGAGCCAGAGGCCAAGCATGGTGCCTGCAGCGGCTCTCCTGTGGGCACAGTGTGACCTCATCACACTCTGGGCAGGACAAGCTGCCAGGTCTAGCAACATGAAGGTGAGAAAGGGACTGGGCAAAGCGCACCTGTGAACTGACGCAGCATCTCCGTGCAGATCTCCGCCACTGCTTCGTCATCACACCTCTCCATGACAAGGGCCTCCTCCCCGCAGATCCAGCCGCTCAGCACATGGCCATAGCGCTCAGGCGGGTAGAGGACATCAAAGCCACAGATCTTGCGGTACCATTGCTCAGGCGGGTAGGTGAGGGTGCAGCTCTCAGCCTCCTCCTCCCACACAAACTGCAGGCTGTTGCAGTCGGGACCCCAGAAGGGCTCCTCGAATTCCAGGAATATCTTGTCAGTGGTGCCGATGCCCAGGCGGTGGATGGCAGCCACCTTCTCCATGGGCAGGCCCGGCCGGAAGAAGCTGGTGTACTGCCTCTTGAGCACTCCCAGGGACACGGTCACGATCACGTGGTCCGCTGGGATAACCTCGCAGTCCTCACACTCCACCACCACTGGCCATTGCTCATCTTTATCCCATCCGCTGCCCTGGGAACTCTCTCCACTCTGGTTGCCCTCTCCGGTGTCATGATTGTGGTCACCCTCATCCCGAGGCTGGATCTCAGGGCCTCGGGGGCGGGCCGAGGCCTGGTCCCAGTGAATGCAGCGGACGGGTTTCCCCAACTGGATGACGTGGGCTGGGATGCCCTCGGCCAGCAGCTCTACAACCCGAATGAAGCCAGAGGGGATGATGTGGTGGGCGCCGGGGATCTCGGTCCACTCCCCGAAGGCGCTCAAGGACACTTCGTCTATGCTGTGCGAGCTGCTCTCACAGCTCTCCACCTGCGGGAAGACCAGAGAGAAGCCCGATGACACCAGCACCAGCCGGACAAGAAGCAAGACCTCGATGCAGCACAGCCCTCCGCTGACCCAGTCCTCCCCAGAACTGACTTCAACCTTCGCCTGTACTCCACAGCAAAGTTACCTTCAGGTACTGCTGCATCATGGCGAGCTTCAGGCGCTTGGTGGCCTCCGGGTCATCAGGGTCATCCCTGATGCGATTGCGTACCTCCTCCCGGGTGAACACCCCAACGCTGTTCTGACTTTCCGCATTGACTGGTTTACCATGCCGGAAGAACTCCTGGGTCAAGTTATAGACCTGCCAGAGGGACCCAGGACACAGAACACACCACTATGTGGCATCTGCACTACACACAGAAAGTCACCAGCTCCCAGGTGCCTCTGCGAGGTGCTGAGCCTTTGGCCTCTGGGGGAGGCTGCACTCCCTAGGCTCTACAGAGGGAGTCAGCACACCAGAGACTGGAAATGATTTGCAAGCACATTTCAGCAACAACTGCAACCCACACCTCTGGAACAGGGTCCTTCTGCCTCCCCGGCCTCCCAGGATGCAGCCCGCCACACACTTCTCCTGAGAAGGTAAACTGTGCTGAGTTTGTTCAACAAGCACTTGCTGGGTTCCATGCCAGATGTGATTTGTGAGGTGAGAAGAGACAGAGTCTCCAGGCTCAGCTCACACTCAGGCTGGCTGTTTCCACAGGCCCACCAGGACAGGAAGGAACCCAGACTGTGATATCAGCCCAGACCACTTGGAGACTCAGAAGAGGACCAGGTTGGGAGTGACAGTCACAGACGGGGAGGCAAGGGTGACGCACTTGGGAAACTTAAAGTGGGTCAATCTTGCAAGGAGAGAGAAGGCTGCAAGAGATGACTCTGGAAAGGCAGGCAGGAGGCGGGTCATGTTAAGGACACTGGACTCAACCTAAGGTCCTGGCATCCCTGAAAGACTGAGAGCAGGAAGACAGCTGGGTCCCCACCCACTGTCCTTCCCAGGACACTGGCAAATGCGGGTGCCTTGGCCAAACCTCTGTGGCTGAGCTGATTGGTGGTGTAGAGAGCTGGGATTCGGCTGGCACACATTCATGGGAATGAGGTCTGCCCTGTGCCCAAGCCCCAGGACAGGCCCTGGGGACACAGAGTTAAGGAAGGTGGCAGAGCTGGCTGCTGTCACCACCCCCAACCTCACTGTTCCACTCAAGGGTAAGGCCTCCTCCACATGAACCAGAAACAGAAATTAAACATGCCTCTGAAGTATAAATTATACAGAAGAAAATGAGCTAAACTGTTCATCTGTCTTTCCTGTAGTCACAAGATGCTGGGTGTTCAGTCTTAACTGGAGTTCTCAGCAAATTCCTCACCCAGGACCAATGCCAAGGATTCAGGCTCTCAACTTATCTCCTCCCTGCTGGCTTTTTCCTTGAGTGATAAGCAACAGCAGCGAGCCCTTAGCTCTTGCCAAGGAGCGGTCACAGCGCCCAGCTGAGGAGTAACAACACAGGCCGGCTCTGCAATTCTTTGTGGCCACCACCAATGGGGCAGCCTTAGCTGAGCATGGATTTACCACATATACGGCCTGTTCCAGGGTCCCCTAGGTTAACCAATAACTTCCTAATGATAACCAGGTCTGCATGGGACAGGTTTGCAACAGTTCTTAGTAGGCACTTTTCATTAGGGTCTCACTGAGTCCTCATGACACTATGAAGGAAAGAAAGTAAAAATCAGAGAGGCTTCTTCTCCTGCTCAAGATTACACAGCTAATAACAGCCTTAGCTGTGTAATCCTGCACTTGAACTGCAGAACCCATGTTCAAATAAGATAGTACCCTCCAGAGACTAAGTTCTATATGACACTGATGTACACACTCATTTATTTGCTACAAAATACGATACATTCAAACAGGTGGCCCTTCAAAGTCATCACCTGCAGAGGCTGCTTACTGATTACGAAGTCAGCCTCGGGCAGAGCATCCCATGCTGAGACCGTACCTCTGAGGAATGGCCTCCAGTGCTGGTCAAAGGGCCTCATGAAGAAATCCTGACCTCATGGTTACACCTCCTCCTTCAAACCTAAAGCATCACCACCCAGACTGACAACCCACTTTATCCATCCTCTTTTATGTGGCTCACATTCTTGCTTTTCAAAAATCAAACTGACCAGAAGATGATACTGACCTACTCTAAGGTGTAGCTTATATATCCAGCCATAAAAAGGTAGGAAAATGGATGGAATTTTGAAGCCATCATGCTAAGTAAGTGAAGTAAATCAAGACACAGAAAGTTAAATATCACATGGTTTGCCTAGTATGAGACACATAAAATGTAACTAATTTAAAAAGCAAAACAAAAACAAGATAGTAGGAAACAGGGAGGCAGATTTGTGGAGATGGGGAGGATGTGTGGGGAGGCAGGGAGGATAAGAGGGTAAAACTGTTCACAGTGCAATATGTACACATACCAATTCCCCAGGATGCACACAATTATTATGTACTACAAACATATTCTAATACACACTTTTTAAATTTTAATTTTAAGTTGTAGTCCCCAAAAGCCATTCTCATGAAGCATCCAGCCTTGAGGTTCACAACAGCCTGGGAATCAGGGGAGAGACCACAAAGGGCTACTTCAAAGCACACTGGCTCTTCCCTGATCATTAGTGATTTTACCTCTCTGTACATGAGTGAAAACACATAATACTACAACACGTGACACTCCTTGTCACAAAAGACCGACTGGGCTGGTCCTCCACAAAGCTAGGACTAGCCAAAAATGAGAGGTTAGAAAATGTACAGAAGCCAATTCGCCTTCTTGTGAGCCGGCATAAGTCATGAGGGGCCAGGAAGAGAAACAAGAAGCCAATTCACCCTTCCCGTGAGCTGGTGCAAAACATGTGGGACATGGGAAGAGCAACAAGAAGCCAGTTTGCCCTTCCCATGAGCCAAGCGGCATACAAGCTGGGAGACAAGAACACCACTCCCCCGTAAGCAACCGGCTGATTCAGAGGAACACAGGCTGAGTTGATAGCAACTGAGGTACAAAGACAACTTAATGCTCATGTTGTTTGACTGACTTTGCAGGCCTGAGGCCAGTGGTCTGAGCATCTATTTGGAGGATAACGATATGTAATGTAGCAAATATGGGAAATTTCCTTCAGTCTTGTTTATGAAATCCAATACTGTTCTCACTGTTTTTGTTTTATTTTATGTTTTATTCAATGTTCTGCTTTGACTGATTTTATTCTGTTCTGTTTTCTTTGATTTTATGATGTCTTATGGTATGGACAGCAGTTC